AGGGTCAAAGGACCCCAGCAAGATAAGCATCCAAGCGTTTCTTGAATGTGTCCAGAGTAGGTGCCTGCACCACTTCTTGATATTGCGTGTTGCTTTTTAATGGTTTTAAGGAAAATATGAAGAATGAAGAATAACTTTAAAACCTTTTAATTATCACTATATGGTTTTTTACCTGGGAGTATCTGAAATCTTTTCAGAATGTTCCAGTGGGAACTGCATGGTGCTTTTCATGTACCTAATTTGATGGGTGTGCAGTTACATAAAATGTCTTTTCTATAACATAAAAAAGCCACAAACTTTTGATTACTCACATTCTAGGAAAGAATATTTAAACAGATACATTACAATTTACTTCCAATGGCAAATGTGTACAGATGAAAAGGGCAATAGTAATATGAAATTCATTTATAATAAATCAACAGATGTGGCAATACAATTCCTCCTCAAGCAGAGGAAAGACTTTTCATATAGAGCTTTCTTTTATTTTCATATTATTCAGGAATAGAATGTTAAAGGACTGGTTTTTCATTGTCTCAGGAACAAAAAGTTTGTTTTAGTGTTTTACTGTTTCTGATTGCTGTCCTATTTGAGCTTGATTGGTGAATCTAAAGCTATACTTTGTGGTAAAAAAGAATAGTGCATGCTGATTATTAACTGTTCATAAGGAAGTACAAAGATCTCTTGAATAGGCTGGATTCAATATTGATAATCTCTCTATATTTTTTCTAATTATTATTTACCTTGACTATATGTGCCCACACAAGATAATAAACCATAGGTGTAATTCGCCTCCTTTTATGTGTCAAAATGGCAGGCTTCTGGTCATATTGGACCATATTTGGCCTCTGCTTTATGCAGTGGCTGCATAACTCTGAGGGCACAGACTGAGTGTGCACAGTAGGACTACACACTAGTATGCATCTAGCACAGCCACATGTGCACATATCTGTGTGTAAGTTCCAGAAAAAAATGGCAGGAGGGGACACTCTCCTATGTTTTAGCCCCAGTAGCTGAGTGGTTAAGGTACCTGCCTAGGAAGTCAGACACCTAGGTTTTGGGCTCCCTTTGTCCAGGGGATTTAAAGCTATGCTCTTCTGATTTCCCAGTACAGTGGTCTAAATATTATGCCATAGGCATGATCCAAACCCTCTCCAGTGCTCCTTTTGAAGCTAAGCCACTACACCTTCTACGTCAGGAGTGGGCAATTATTTTGGGCAGAGGGCCACTTACTGAGTGTTGGTAAACCATTGAGGGCTGCATGACAGGCAGCCAGGGACAGATAAATATTATTTTTAGGGGCCCCACAGGCCGGATAGAATGGCCTGGTGGGCCGCATCCAGCCCACGGGCCGCATTTTGCTCACCCCTGGTCTACGCACTATTCAGTGGATAAAATGGATAGAGGAAAGTTTCTGCCATACTGAAAGCAAAGGTCCAGGTTATAGCCTCTGGCCATATTCCTTCAAGAGGGATCACCACATTATTAAGCCATACTCAATCAAGCCTTTTCTCTTCCTCTTGGCCCCACATACCTTCCTCTCTTGGCTGCCCAGACTTAAAAGGAGGGTTGGAGAATACCTGAATTGTGTGTGGTGGTTAGAACACTGTGCTGGGAAGTTAGCAGGATTTTAAGTGAGGGGAAGTCTTAAACCTTTGCTGTTAGTTTTCTAGATAAGTACCCTAGCCACTCAGCTATTGGGGTTAGAACACATAGGGTGCATCGACACATCACCCTACATTGCTGTAGCTAGCACACAAGTGTACACATGATTGGCATGTGATTGTGTAGTTGCGCACTCCCGTTTTAGCACACTGCTATGGCAAAGTAGTGGTGAAAACTAACCGTGCACTGTGCACATGGTGCAGTACGGGCTTTAGTACTTCCAAAAGGAAGTAGTGAAGCACAGCACTGTTGCAACGTTGGTGTACAGCGATGTGTAGATACACCCATAAGGGCCCTGCTCTTCCTCTGGGGTCTGACACTTGTGAATCAAAGGTTTTTTGCCACCTTCATTTTCAGGAATTGGATGCAAGCACTGAAGATTTATGATGGATAAATTACTTTGGGACCAAAATTTGACTTACTATAAAATACTTCTTTTTCCCTATATCTGACTTGAGTTAACTACAGAAATAAGCTGTATATATGGACTACCTTTTCTAACAGCATGCATATAATTATTTATATTAGGACCTACAATAACTTGTTTTAAAAAAAAGTTGTGTTTTTTAATGATATCTATAAAGTAGAAAAAATCATGGGAGAATGGAGGAATTTAGTTGTAGGAAGTGAAAAAAAGCATAAAATAGCACCCACATATTCCCAAAACCACTTTAACTCAAAAACCTTGCAATGCAAGTCAAATTTTGGCCTTGAAAATGGTCTTTTTAAACAAAATGATCCTGTAAGTCATCACTCAAACCAAGACTTAGAAAAGCACTGCCCATTGATTTTTCCCATGTGGTATAATTTTAAATTGTTTGAGTAGAAGTGTACTGCTAGAACACTTTTCAAGAAAAATGATGTTTCAAATAAGACAGAAACTTGGGATTATTTTATCTAAGGAAATAAAGTCTACTTCTTTCTTATAGTAATCATGCATTTGCTTATGGAATGAAAACACTACTGAATTTGATTAGACATATTAGGAGTTTCACTCCCAAATTCTTTTTAACTGACTGTAGCAGTGGTGTACTTTCTGACAAAATAAGATTACTGAATAGTCAACTGAACCACTATGGAAAGTGGTCAATCTCTTCATACAAAATTCTGTGTTCAATTTTTTTATTTTAAAAATTGCATGTAACTGTCTGCCTTTATTTATAAGTACATAAGAAAATCTTTATGTTTGGGTGATAGCTACAATTTTTCTGGTCTGTCAATTCCTGCACTTTTACAAACAGTTTATTTTAAGGATCTTGCCCCAGCAAAGAAAGCAGGTGTCAAACATTTCACCAATAATAAAAAAAAAATCAACTTTAAAAATGGCTAACTGAATGCATACAAAGAAACATGTACTGTGTAACCTCTGCTATTTCATATATTACAAATATAATAAAAGGAACAACTGAACTTTTCCAGCAGCATATACAGCAGTGACTACACCGGACATGAAGGTTAAAATACCAAATCACCAACTTTTCTGCCTCCTGACAATGTCGCTTAAAACAGCAAATCTCCAGTTCTGTTTCACTTTCCTAAAATGGATGGAAATATTTATATTGAGTTGTTTCTTATGGAAAACCTTTGGTGTCTTTACAAACCACCTATACTTGAAACAGGATTCACTCGCTCTAGAATTGTCTAAAAGTACCCATGTTGGCTTTCATATGACATTACACTGCAAAATAAATCATAAAGTGTGAAAATCATGTTTATATCAACCTGCAGAAGTTAGTTGATATAATTCATGGATCAATTCTTAAAATTGAAGTTATTAAAGAGAATGTGATGTATTAAAAGATTTGAAGTTTATAAAAAGTAACACCTTTGTATACCATTTTACAAAAATATTGAAATAATCCATGAGTTATTCACTCTGCACCAGCTTTAAAAAAAATACTATCAAATTTTGACTTGCACCTTTAATGCATCTGAAAGCACCATCAGGGGATACTTTTAACATAAAGAAGGTTACGGTTGACTTGACTTAGGGAGGTATTTAAAACCCAAAAGCTTGCAGCAAAAACACTCTTTTATAAGTGATTCAATGTAATTTTAGATAGATATGGAAACAAGTCTTGAACAAGTTCAAGAAGGTCTTCCACATAGCTTGGTTTTATTGTACTTTACTAAATATACTTACTAACAGGTGGCTGAAAGCCTCTAAAAAGACATCACTTTCACCTTGGATGGGGTAAAAACAGAGCTGTCTGTACACGTGGATAACTTGATTGTTCTTTTCTGCTTCCTGCTCTTGTAGGGCTCATGCCACTCATTTTCTGTCCCTCAGGCAATAATATCAATCTTGTAGACATACAGTGTTTGGCACTAGAAGGGTATGGCATGTCACAGTCTCTGATCATACCTGCATACATTCACACACAGAGCCATGCATTCTGAGTCCTGAAACAGATTTAAATTGGTATGTTCATTTCCTGATGTTTCCTCTTAAAATCTGAATGTGGTCCTCCAAAGGTCTAGAGTACGAAACCTATGAAAGCTTGTTCTTTCTATTTTTATATTTTTTTTTGCAAATTGAATACTGAATCATGATTATCATTTAATTACATCACTAAGTGTGAGAGCTCATTGTTTCTCCTGAAAAGCAGAAGTGAGCTGCATAGGATTTCTGTCAAAAGAAACTTCTTCAACTGAAACTGTAATTAAAAAGAATCTTGACTTCAATAGAAAACTAACAGTTTGATTGGTGCTAATGCTTATGCCCCATTTCACTGAAATTTAGCTTATTTTGCATTGATTGGTTTGCAAACATGATGATGTACTTTTTGATTGAGAACTATTTTGCAAATCTGTTCTAAACTGAATAGTTTATCTGCTGGAGAGTTGAGGATTATACCCCTGTCATTTTTGCAGAAATCAGTTTTCATAACAGCAACATTATTATATGGTACAACTAAGCTATTTTGCCAAGGTGTTTTCATTTGTCAATGAATATGCAAATATCAATAATTCATTTCTAAAATAAAATGCACTACTGGTCAATGTTGAAAGCTTTCATCAGAACCTTCCTGTTGTTTTGATTGTAAGTACTGTGCAGTTGAGTTTCATAGCAGCAAGGAGTCATGGCCCCGGGGTTTATATCCCTGTTGAAGTAATTGGTTTTTCTGAGAGTCTCAGGTGAGGCTGCTTTATCAGCGTACTGCAGAGAGACTGCATACTGTGGATCAAATGATAATCATGATGATAGCCAGACTAAGAACACTACTGCTTGTTTCTCTATTGTAGTATGCAGTTTAGTTATTGCCACAGCCCTACTGTCAACCCCTAACTTGGACTGTAACGTAGTAACTTCTTCAAGTCTTCACTTTTTTTTTTTTTTATAATGTGGTTTCATATTCCAAGCGCTCCTGGATAAGGGCATCATCTTTATATTGTAGCCGTGGAGGAGCAGGGGAACATTCAAATGCTAAGATAGCTTTTCTTAGGCTTCTGTCCAACACATGTCTTTCCCATGCTGGGTACCTGTTTCTGAAGAGATCAATTTTAATGACTGATTCTTCAATCCTTGGTGGCCGTGAGGAAGGCGTAGAAGGTGCAGTGGGCCTCACCTGAAAGACAGGCACACACCCATCCCTCTCTGCAAACTTCTGGTCCCGGTCACTTGTGACACTCCGATTGTTAGAGATAGACCTTAGAGTGTTTGTTGCCACTTCTGGGGGCAGAGTGAAGGCAGCTACAGGGTCCTCACAAGCACAGCTTGGTGACTGCCCAAATCTTGGTCCATTGGGATGAAAGAAGGCATAGTACATCAGCATAAAAACAATGCCTGTTAAAAAGCTGCTGAACACCACACACAGTGCTGGTATGGCGAATGCATCAGAAATTGGTGGGACTTTGTACCGATACCAGAGAGCACTCAAGGCGGTGTTTTCCAAAAGGATCACAAAATAATAAATGAAAAGCCTGCAGCGTGTCCTTCCTTCCTTGACATTGAACCAACTAAAGATATAGATTATTCCAACAACCATGTCGAACACTATCTCTTCCCATTTGGTGATGCAGAATTCTGTCTCACAATGGACGATCCAAAAGGTCATGATACACCAGTGGAGGACGATGAAGATCCCAAAGTATAGCTGGAAAACTGAGGCAAACAGAGCAAAAGTAATGACCCTGGCTGCAATTGTGAAGAAATGCCAGCAAAACTGAATTATAACAGCCATGTAACTGATGGGTTTCTTGTCATCGCGGGAGTCACGCAGGGCTTTTTGATAGGAAGCCAAAGCCCAAGCCAGGGATACAAGAGATGCTGCAGCAGTAAGACCTAGAAAAAAAATAGAAGATGTAGTAAAGAATTAATAAGATCTGAATTGGAATCACTGAAAAAACAGTAGAACCTCTGTAATCCAACTGCTGTAAATACACCCTTTTAAATTCCCACAAGAAATTGTTACCAGTCCCTATTTTTCAATGACAGAAGATCTCTTATTATTGGTGTTTCATTATTTTTACAATATGGACTGTATTATATGGTAGTATACATTATAATGAATAAAACAATCCTAGAATCAACAATATAAAATATGTTATGTGACACTTTCCCTTATCTTTGTCTTTTTATTGTTTTTGGTAACTTAGAACCAGATTCAAATCACTTTTATATGTGCCTAAATAGGACTTTGGTAGATTCATAGATTCATAAATTGTAGAGTCGGAAGGGGCCCTGAAGGATCGTCGTGTCTGACCCCCTGCTCCAGGCAGGAAATGGACTGAGGTCAGACGACCCCCAGCCAGGTTCTTATCTAGCCTCCTCTAGAAGACCTCTAAGTTAGGTGATAGCACCACCACTCTTGGCAGCCCATTCCAGATTCTGGCCACCCTTATTGTGAAAAATTTCTTCCTAATGTCTAACCTAAATCTACTCTCCACTAGTTTGTACCCATTATTCCTAGTTACTCCTAGGGGCACCCTGGTAAATAGAATTTAGGTGACTAAGTCATAAAAAAAATTCTTCTGAGGCTGCCAAACCACTTAAGTGCCTACATTCAATAGGAAAATCCATTTTGTCCTAAAAAAATCACTAGATGCCTAAGCTGATGTTTTTGAATAATTTCAAAAAGTATTCAGAGCAAAACACCAAAACATCTGCCTAAGCTTTGCTGTGATCCAAATGAGATCTGGGAGATGCACAACATCCATCTTAGATCCCAATGTGCTAGGTAGCTACAGTGCATGCCTAAGAATTGACTATCATTAACTGTGCTTGTAAAGAGCAGCACTCAGTATCTTTCTTTGTTAAACATAGTGTTGGCGCTCACTTTTTGCCCAATAGCCTAGTTGTTAAAGCACACACACAGGAGATGGGTGACCTGGATTCTTGAAGTGATTTGAAACCACTTCTGTTGCTGAGAGTGCCCTAACTATGAGGCTGAGGAACACTTTTCCTGTTGAACCTGGGCTACGGGGGCAGGTTCAAGAATAGCGCAAGTTTCATGGGACTAAAAGGCCAGAAAGACTGAAAGCAAGTTGGAGCATGACTTCAGCTCAGTGATGAGAACACTCCCATGGGCTGGGGCTAGTCTGGGGAGGGTCAGGTGTCTGTGTCAGTGTTATTTCTTCATTTTAACTAGCAAGAACATCGTGGGAGCATCGACTGGGCATCTCCACTGGATATGTCCAAGACTGAAGGGTGCTGCACTTTCCACTGAACTGAATGGTTCTGTTGCAATGAAAAAAGGCATTTCCCTTTGCGGTGCTCTGGGTACTGAGATAACAGAAGTACAGAGATAACTCCATTGATTGAATAGGGATCCTCCATACCTAATTCTGTCATTTTGGTTTGCCTTTCTGGGGTAAAACACACATTTTTTAGCTGTTGCTCACCTAAATGGAGGCAACTATGAGAACAATTTAGATCTACCCTTTACTCACAAAATTCAATAGCACGAATTAACAAGGTTCTACTGTACAGTTATTTTAAAGAGTTTTCACTGTTTTGGATAAATCCACATAGCAGTTAATTATTAAGGACACATTAGTAGTCATTGTAAAACAAACACTTTTAATTTAATTTCTAAGCACTGGCACACATCTAATCCCATATGATAAAAACACAAACTAACTGGAATTTGAGAAGGTTTACATTTTCTTAAAATTACAATGCATACCCTTATATATAAAGTCTAACATAATATATGCATCAGAATTGGATGGACATTTTTCAGTGTAGGAGTTTTCTGTTTTAAAATGCTGAGTCAGTGAAGCCAAAATGTTTTGCAGGAACTATAACTTTTCTCAGCATTTTTCAACACCAAAATACTTCTTTTTGAGTTTTATATTGGTTTTTTAAAGTTCTTTTAAGTTGAACTAAAGTTGAAACAGAGCATTTCAGCCTTATTGAACATAAATTCTTTGTCCTCATTACATTTTTAATATGGTCATTTTAATATTTCCAAGTAATTTTTTCCAGAATTTTAATTTTTCTGGAAATTTCACGATTTTGGCTTTTTATTCTAATATGGGATAAAGGAAAAATTTGAAATATTGGCATTTCCCACAGAATGAAATTCCTGAATTATGACCACATTTAAAAGAGCTGTTTTATCTTATACAGATAATAGAGTTACCCTACTTTATAACACAAAATCTTAATTGCTTTTTGTAGAGCTGATTTCATATTTGTTAAACAAACAAAGTCTTTTTCACTCTAAAATGGATATGGATGAAGCAGTGTTTTATGAAAATTCTTCATCTGTAAAAAAATGTTTATATTTATGCTGAAAACACAAAAATTTGGAAGGAAAGAAAACCTGTTTTAATGGACAAACTGCATGATTAAGATAGACATAGGCAAACTTGTGGATATCAAAGTACCCTTTCTCAGGTTTCTGTCAGGGAAACAGAACTAAGTAGCAGATGGAACAAAATATTCTGTAAAACAGTGTTCACGAGTAGTGTTGTTATCACCTGTGAAATGCAGAGGTTAGCTATCTACTGCCAGAACAATCAACACTCCACACAAGAAAGCCATCAGGATCCATGGATCATTCACAGATCTATTCCAAAATGTGGTATTCAGTGCACCAAATACTAGGGCTGTGCAAAGCTCAGTAGCTGATTTGATTTGGAGGGGATTCGGCCTGAATTGGCAGCCGAATCCCCGATTCCGCATTAAATTGGGAGACCCATTAAAAGGTCTGAATCGAATCGGAAGCCTCTGAATTGATTCAGAGAGATTCGGAGATTTGGAAGGCTTGCAGCAAACAGAAACTGAGAAGAGGGAGGGGGATGGGGTGCAGCATTCCCTCTAAGTTGCATGGTGCGCATGGCTGTGTGACATGATTGCGCTGCTTAGAGGGAATGCTTAAGGAGTGATTTTCCATGTATGGAAAAGGCTGAGACGGGGGGAAAGACTGGTATGATATTGATATCTATAGCTGGCCAGTGACTGTGATCATTCTTTGAGTTCCCTTCCAATCACAGTGCTCTGGGGGAGGGACATAGAAACAACATATAAAGCTGTGTCTGAAGCGATCTGTGCCTTTTGTGAGCTGTGTCCCTCTTGGAGCAGCAGTATCTGAAAGGCTTCAAGGCATTATGAAGCGTGCTGGAAAGGCAGGTGCTAGGCCTTCTGGCAGGGAAGCGAGAGGGAGAGCTGCAAGTTCCCCCCACCCCAAACATAGATACACCCTCTTCCCTGGCGGGGATGAGTCTTCTGCTGCTAGTGGGAGCAAAGAGGTGATAGCAGTACCTGACCTGTACCACCACCACTAACCAGCAGTAGAATGACATTCTCCACCCCAATTTCAGTTCCCAGCGTGAACCTTCCAGTACCAGAGGAGGAGCTGAGGGCCATAGTGAAGGAAAGCATGGGGAAAGAGGAGGAAGCTGAGTTTGTAGTCCACAAAGTTCCCCTAGAGGCAGGTCTCCTTCTCTGGAAGGCACTTCAGAGGAAGTTGTGGGGGCGGGTGGCTCAGCTCCTCCTGTTGTTGTGTCCCCTTCTCGCTCCAAAGCCCCCATCCCCAAGAAGCAGAAGCAGGCCACTCTGGACCAGTGGAGGAAAGGTGGAGACAAAGGGGGGCATGTTCTGAAGGCAAGTGAGGTCACCCAGAGCTGGGGAAATGCTTATTTTAGATAGCCAGCCCTTCTTCTTTGTTGAGGGGCTAGGGTTTAAGCAGCTCATGGCGCTTGTGGCCCCATCATGCTAAGTGTCTGCATGCATCACCTTTAGCAGGATGATGGTGCCCTCCCTGTATGAGGCATGCAGGGTGTACTTTAGAGAGGAGCTGTGGAAGGCAAGCCTGTAGGTAGCCTTGCACTTCACCTCAGACATCTGGAGCAGCCAGGGTGGAGAGCATGCTTATCTCTCCCTCACAGGGCACTGGTGCAATCAGTCAGGGCATCACTGTGCTCTCCTTCAAGCAGAGGTGATGGATGGGTCCCACATGGCAAGGGAGATCATGGTGGCCATGAACCACGTGGTGGTGCAGGGGTGGCTCGTTGGGCAGGGCAAGCTCAGCCATGGATTCATGGTCACCGACAATGGGGCCAATGTGGTCTAGGCAGTGAATGATGCCTACATCAGATGGATCTCTACAGGTAAGAATGAATGAATACTTATCTGACATCTGTTACAGAAAGAAACAAAGGTCCATGGCAGAACATTTTAACCTCCCTAGACATTCTATAGCTGACCTCAGGACTCTTGTTTTCAGGCAAAAACATTAAAAAAACCCAGGAAATTGTGGAACAAGAATCATTCATAGACTGGATTATGTTAAGTATGGTTTAAACAGGGACTATAGATTCTTATCCCATTACCTGGATTAGCTTTTGTGACCACTTTTTTCCTATGGGTTCTTTTCTTGTTTGCTGCTACCTTCCCTCATCAACCTCATCAATTACTATAGAATGAAAGCATTTATTTAAAGACCGTTCCTGTGATTATGCTATCTGATAGATTGTTGATTCACTGAGTTTGATAATAACAGTAGTTTAGGCCTTAGTCTTTATTTATTGGATGTATATGCCACCTTTCCCTACAAAGACTTAGGGTGGCTTTTAGTAAAAGAACAAAATAGTGTATAAAACAAGAGAATGTACAAGAGAAAAAAATCAAGAGAATAATATAACTAATAAAAGCAAGAAGATTATTAAAATAGAATATAAAACAACTCTCCTCCTCTCCTGAGGGAGGAGAGCCATCTTAGACTGGCTTGCTACATACCTGTTCAAATAGAAAGGGCTTATAGCACTTCTGAAAGGTGTACACACTGGGGCTTTGGTGGGAGGGAGTTTTGGAGCTGAGGAGCAACCCCTGAGAACAGCCTCACATGTGTTTTCACCAAATAGAATTAGTGTACTGGTGCTACTTGAGGAGGTTGCTCTTTGCTGACCTTATGGATCGAGATGGGGCATAAGAGAGAAGACAGCTCTTAGGGTACATATGACCCAGCCTGTTATGGCCTTGTAGGTGTAAGAAGCACACTGAATTCTACCTGAAAAGCTATTGGGAGCCAGTGCAGGTTCTGGGGCACTGATAGTATGTGCTCCTGGTGACCCACCCCAGTAAGAAGGTGGGCTGACATATTCCACACTGGATGCAGCTTCTGGGCAGTCTTCAAGGGCAGTCCTATGTAGAGAGCACTGAAACAGTCTATCCCCAAGGTTACAAAAATATAGATGAAGGTGCCAGATTCACATCAGAAAGACAGGGTTACAGCCTTCTTTTCACCAGATGGCGTTGGTGAAAGGTGGTCCTAGCCACTGCTGCCACTTGAAGATCCAGGTACAGTGGAGGATTCAGGGGCACCTCAAGGCTGTGAACCTGCCTGGCAAGAGAAAGCTGAATCCCATCAATGGTAAATGCTCCAATACCACCCAGACCATGCAGACTGCCCACTACCATCACCTCCATCTTGTCTGGATTCACCTTCAATTGATTCATTTGCATCCAGTCCTGTACTGCAGTTAGGTATTGGGAAAAGACTGAGACTGCAGGGCCTAGGTTAGATGAAAGACAGGTAAAGAGCTGATTGTCACACTGATGACACCTCACACCAAATCCCCCAAATCTCACCCAACAGTCTCATATACATGTACTCTCATTTATCTACACAAAATGCTAATTCAGACATCTACTGACTAGGAGTGTGAGAAACGGGCCTGTAACAGGGAACTCTATCCCTGTTACCAAAAGGCAGGTCGGTCCCTTTAAGACCAGAACTTTCCAGGCACAGCCTGCTGGCAGGGAAGGGGTTAAAAGCTGAGCCTGGCCAGCTAGCCAGGTGACTGGAAGGGGCAGGCCAGAACTATAAAAACCCTGGGCTTGGTGGCAGTAAAGAGGCAGTGGCTGAAGGGGACTGTTGTGTGTGGGAGCTCCCCAGAGAGCCTAGGCTGCTGGTCTGACTGCTGTAAGAAAGGAACTGCTGCTGATCCTCAGAGAAGTGGTGGCAGCACCATCAGGAGGAGCGTCAGAGGCAGCGGGGGAGCAGAAGCACCACGCTACAAAGAAAATGTAAGCTGGCATTGCTGCCTTCTTCAATTTCTATTTTTTTGTTGTGGTTAGAACCCACTAACTGACTCTCTCTCTCCACACACACACACCACTTTGGTTGATTGATAGACTGGTGGTTTGTGGAGGAGGCCTTTTAGGCCTCCTCCAGTCATAAAAGGCCAAGGTTGCCTAGTGCACCAGGCATGCAGTTGTGTGCTGCACAGTGGGGGTTCAAGACTGCTGCCCAGCTTTGAACTTGCAGCCCCTTGGATGTGGGGCTAGTGGACAAGCTGCTAGGCCAGAGAGTCAGGGCTCCACATTAGAGGCAAAAAGGAGGGTCATGAGCTCCAAGATCAAGGAGCTAGAGCCTCAGAGTCAAACTTAGACTGGGAGGCCTAGCTAGAGAAAGACAGGGGTCAAGGCCTGTGGTGGCTGAGAACCACAACATAAAAATACAATAGGCAGTCTCCCGCTTACAAAAACATTTGTATAATATTTCCATCAAGACGTGGCAGACGAGTAAAAGTGGGACACACGAAACATTAAGGGACTTCAAGGGTGCCCCTCATAGGTCGCAGATAGCAAGCAAAAAGATGCCACTGGGGAGGGAAACCTGTTACAGGGCCGTATTCAATTCAGATCTGGCCTGAATTGGGGATAGTGATTCAATTTGTTGATTCAGATCACTATCCCAATTTGATTCAGCTCGAATCAGAATCTGAAGATTCGATGCTGATTTGCAGAATCAGCAATTTGGCCATAGACACAGCTTTAAATGTTTTATTATACATACTTCGGGGTACCAGGCAAAGCTCATGAATGCTGTGATGGTGGGATGAATGGAGCATCCCACAGGAGCACCGGGGGATGGGGGGGGAGGGGGCACGTGCTCGGTGGTGAACCTGGAAGTGGACCAGAAGTACTTCTGGTCCACTTCCAGGTCTGTTGAGGAGTGCACAGGGGGGTCCCCCTGCACTGGCCTAGGTTGGCAATCGGTCATGAGGGCCCCACATGCCCCCCAGACCCAGGAGGAACCAGTCACCAAGCTGGGGGGGACCGTGGAGGGGGGGGGCACCCTGCACGCTGCCCAGTGGCCCCAGAAGTAGACTGGAAGTGCTTCTGGTCCACTTCTGGGTCTGCTGCTGAGTGTGCTGCAGATCCCCACCATGTGCCTGTGTGATGCTCCATCTGCCCCACCATCACAGTGTTCATGAGCCACCTGGTACCTTGAGGTATGTAGAAAAAAACATTTAAAGCTGTGTCTATGTCCAAATTGTTGAATCTTTCTGAATCGATTTGGAGGGTTCCGATTCGATTCGGAGAGATTAAAGGGTCTCCTGATTCGATTTAGGATTTGGAGATTCAGCCACCGAATCAGGCCAAATCAAATCAGCAACCAAAGCTTCACATAGCCCTGCTACAGATTATATAAAATGTTCAGTGTTAACTCTTTCAATGCCAATTAGTTTTTGAAAGCAGAGTTGCCCTGGAATTGTGGACAGAGTTTCTGAATACAGAATCACTATATTCCTACGATTATGGCATTTGGATACCAAAATACAGTGGGTATAGACATGGGTGGATCTTGGATTTTGAAAAGCACATAATCACATAACACAACATATATTTTTCTCCAGTTAAAAAAAAAATTAGTAATGCTTCTAGTATTAGGGGTCTATATCATTCAGTTTAATATTAGAAGCAAAAGAAAACTTTATTGGAATGTGCAAAATTCACTATATCATATATTATGTATAAGAAGTACAACAAACCGGGCAAAAATAATCAAACTAGGTTGATTTATTAGTCCTGTAGTCACTGGAATTAAAAGTACAACTCTTTTTTCATAAAACAAAATCTAGCCTTCCGAGCATCTTGATTGTGCTTCCAATGTTTCACTGAAAGTTATTTCCATACATGAGTTAATGTTCACGTGAGTTAACACTTCCACATCTGAGTTAATGTTTCTAGCTAGAGTTAAAAACAGTCTTCAAAGCTTTGAAATATGAGCTACATTAACCAGGAGCAGCTACAGACAGCAGAATTGCAGAAGAAAGGCCAGCTTAACTACTGGGAGCATTAAAAGAGAGAAGGTAGTTAACACTGGTGGAATGAAAAGTTTAGAAGGAATCAGATGGATTATAATGGGCCATGAATTCAAGGTGACTCCCTCACTGCTACCTAAATAGAAAAGATGCTGCTACTTCCAGGCAGTAAATTTTAGACTTTGGGTGAAGCAGGAATCAAAGGGGGTGCAACTGCACCATTTTCCCCCCTGCCTCTAGGTACACAGAAGCATACGCTTGCAAAGGTTTCAAAAGGGAAAGGAAAGCTGCTGCTCAGAACTCAGCTGCAAAACCTGTGGCACTGCAACAGTTACATGAAACAAAAAAGGAGCAAAAACCAGTGTAACTTTGAACCTGATTAAAGATGTGGTGATTTAGCCCACTTGGATTCCTACAGGCTTGTGCATAATTAGAATATAACAGCTGTTGCAGCTATCCATCCCTTTTTGAAACCATTCCAAATGAATGATTGGCCAGGCCCTGACACTACTAGTGGAATCCTCTTCACAAAGAGAACAAACAACAAATGAAGAAGAGTGGAGAAAACGGCGTATAAACTGATGGCAACCCTACTCATATTTTTGTACTTGATACATACATTTGCTTGTTCAAGTGAGCTGCCCCAGTGGGACAGAACTTATCCTATAACTGTTTAACCATTTTATCTGGTTAATACTAAATGCAAGGTGCAGAAAAGTCATTGGGCAGCCAGAACCTAGATCTCCCTTCCAGGCATACATTCATCTTACTGAACTACCTGGCTCAATCTTACCCAGTTTGCTCTCTTGACCCACATATTTTCCCTTCCTGGTTGCTTGAGGTTGGCCCACTAGTTAGAGAGTGGGAGAGTGCTATGGGCAATGCCTAGTCACAAAACAACCTGTCATATATGCCAACAGTGAGCCCAGGAAAATCCTTATGCTCGGATACACACCCGTAGACCCCAACCGTAGCAGCCATACACTCAGCCAAGGACCTCCATGGAAGAACACTTTAACTAGGCATACACTGATAGAGATTTTGGGGGCTGATACTGATGGGTGATTTTTAATGAGCCACACTGGCCAATACTGATCCGATTGCTGATATGCGGCCCCACAGCTTGGAGAGCAGGGACAAGCTGGTAAGTCTGTTGTGGGGGAAGGGGTGTGTGGCGGGAGCAGATGGAGGCTCTCCGGTGAGGGAGGAAGTGGGGCTGATGCAGGGGCAGGGCATGGGACAGAGCGGTGGCTTGTCCGGGGAGTGCAGGGGGCGGGGCATCTGCACACTCCACCCATGCCCTCCTGACGTGCACATAGTTGTGGGAACCACCCCCCCCGGTTCGGTTGAGCTGCTCATGGCTCCATCCCACGCCCCACCCCAGCTGCGCTGGGCAGCACTTGCCCCTGCCCCTGCCCCTGCCCCTGCCCCTGCGTTAGCCCCATTCCCTCCCTCACCATGGGCGCTTTGATCTGCCCTCCCTGCCCCTTCCCCCACAACAGATTTACCAGCCAGGGCCGGCTGCTCTCCATGCTGCTGAGCTGCTCTCCTGGCGGCCTGTATGCTGCGCTGGGGCTGCATGCATGCACGGGGCATTTATTGGAGACGTTATTGGCCACATCAGCCAAAAAAGCTGATTGCCGATAAGGTCAATTTTCCTTATATCAGTGCTGAGCCGATATGGGACTGACGTATCAGTGCACCTCTAACATTAACCTCTGTGAACGTTGCATTGCTGACCTTCAGAGTAGATGTTCTTAGACAACAAAACTTTAAAAATGAACTTAAGCAAGAAACTGTGGAACAATCATACACAGTCTGGATTGTGTTAAGTATGGTCTATACCCAAACTATGGATTTTTATCCCATTACCTGGATTAGCAAAAGTATTTTTTGTGTTTTTTAGAGTTTTGCAGTATTTGATATAAAAATAAACAAACAAAAATCAGTTTTAATTTTTAAAATCCAAAACATGGAAATTTTCAGTGAAAGTTAATTAAAATACTCTACTTCTAAGCATTTTCCAAATAATTTATGCAAAATACAATTTTACAGCCATAACTGCAGTGCCAGACCTTGTCTTCTCTGAATTTGATTTATGTATTCCTGTTCATTATAAGTTGACAGAGCTAATAGTCAAAGTCATCTGAGCAGATGACTTGGTCTGGAAAGGGTTAAAGGAGGGAGTTGAGTGTGACTTTCAAAAATCATGTGAAATGAACAGGAGACATCAAAGAATATATGAGGTCAGAGAAGAAGGATGAGAACTAAATGATGTTGGCCTGAGAACTGAGGGAGAATAAATGTCAACATGGTGACTTTTTATTTTTTATTTTTTTATTTTTATTTTTTTCTTCTGGCAGTGTCAATTTTTTATTTTTTTATTTTTATTTTTTTCTTCGGGCAGTGTCACCAGCCACAGAAAGGTTCTGGGAAACTATTCAGTGAATTTAACCCCAAATTGGAAACTTTTTCACAATAATACTGACTTTTTGACAAATGTTACCAATTCCCTCACAAATTGTGCCTACACTTATGCATTAGCTCATGCAGTTCTGTTTTTTTCCTACCTTATTCTTCCTGTTCATTGGTTCTCAGTTCTCCCTGCCTGAATTCCTTCACTTATATTCCCTTCCCATTCTGTATGCTTTACAGAATACCCCTACAAATAGTATTTCTAGACTGGAGATTTTTTTATTTTTTTTTTAAGTCTGTCAAAATGACCAGAGACATTTCTCTACAGGATTCAAAGACTGAAGCCATGACAAAGCTCTTGGCAATAATGTAATGAAAAAGGAGCATCTGCAGCACCAGTCCTGGGAACTGACCCTGTGGGGGTGCTTCTACACAAGATGGTTTACTGCACAGTAGACTAATCTACTGCACACTATGGTATCACCATGTAACCATGCACAGCAGCTACTGCACAATAAATTAGGCTAATGCATGTTTTTTTTACTACCTGTAAATACAGTAGTAGATTAATTGTGCATTAGCTATTGCACAGTACAGCTTGTGTAGATGCCGTCCAGGAGCAAATTTGCTAATGGTCAGCTACACCAGCAGGGGATGGAGGAGTTCTCTGTCCCTGGTCATGGTCGCTGCTCAGCTCCCCACTGGAGCCAGGAGCGTCTCAGCACTGGGACAGGGTTGCTCTCTGCTTCCCCTGACCTGGCACTGCAGGGCTCGTAGCTCTCCACAGGAGCTGGGAACTGAGCAGTGCTGGGACTGGAGAGCTCTCTGCTTCCCCACTGAGCCAGGGGCTGACTGGAACTGTCTTGCATGTTGGGCAGCTATCAGCAAGCTCCTAGGTGGC